AAATAAATGTACATGTCCAAACAGTTCTCATGTTCTCTCCTGTTTCTGAACGCATAACATAGAGACGTGTTGAGTGGCCGAAAGCGTAACATACCAACAAGTTGTCTCGTAGAGTAGTATGTTACATTTTGGGATGAGAACATGTTGGAAAAACCAGCAGAAGGCACAATGCAGTGTTTCTGACATGTGATTGGATGAGCAGCCTACAGCCCGCCTCCAAAGTCTCCCAGTGATTATGCAGATGAGGAAACTGATGTGTTTGTCAGAGAGTACAAAGGTGTTCAACCATGAACTTAGCACAACAAGTGAAACACACACACATACACTCTAAACCCTGATCTGACTCATGCAGATGATTCAGTATCTTTCTGTGTCCTTCCTGTTTAGCTGCTTTTGGACGAATCCTGATTCTCTTTCTCTGCTTTGGTTAAGCAAACAGGTTTGATTCGTTGGTCATGAGTGACGTGTTTAGCAAAAAACAAACAAACAAAAATATGTTGTTGGAGACTGTCTCTCATTTACAAATTTCCTCTGGCTGCAGAAGTTGAAGAAGAGACTGTCACTGCGTGCTTGTATGATTTTTTTTTTTTTTTTGCCACACGACTGTTAAATCCAGGACTTTTAAGGTTACAGTAGTTGCTGTATCTTATCATAGATAGATTTGTTTGGTTGTAGTTAAAGTGTCAGTAGTAGCAGATGTTACTATATTTGAAATCATTAACTTAAATTCAAATATAGTAACAAAGTATATGTGGGGCCTCCCTGCTGCTGTGGAGTCGGGGCGGTCTGCTCTTGCTCCGCGGCTGCTGAGCGACCCCTCATCTGGGGCTCTCTTCAGCTCTTTCCGGGAGAGTGGCACGGTTTCCCCTCCGTTGGTCTTCTAGCAGATCATTACATGAAGGAACCTTTTAAATACAAGCGCGCTCATGCTCACAGGTGCACACACGGGTGCTCACACATACAAACGACACCCTTTTTGGCTCCTACCTCAAAGCACACCGTGGGCTGTCAATCCTACTTACTGCACAGTAATATTCAATATTTAGTATTTACTGTTATATTCACATTGTTTTTTGCCCTTTATCACCGTTCCTCTTCCCTGCTGTTTTTCTTTCCCTCTTTCTTTCTCCCTTTTCTTTTCCCCAGTCAAGTCCATTGGGCATCTTTCTTTGCCTTTAGACAATAATTCTGATGGCAAAAGAACCAAACGGGACAGGCAAAAAAAGAAAAAAAGAAAGAAATTATTAACTTAGTTGCAGAAGTTGCTGTGGTTTTAGGCTTGTTTAGTTACAATCACTCTTTGCTGCTGGTGTGGCTGTAGTTTTAGTTTTAAATTTAGTTGCAATAGTTTTTGTGTCATATAGCAGATGTTGTTATACTTGGAGTAGCAGAGTTGCAGACATTGCCATGACTAATAGCAGATATTGCTGTAGTCTCCTTCATTCATTTGTTACAGAATTATCCATGCTTTCCTGTAGATGTTATATTTTCAGCCACTGATTTAATTCCTGAAGTCACCATGCTTTCCTGCAGATGATACTGTAGTTTCAGTCATTCATTACAGGAGATGTTGTAGTCTGAGGTTTGTTTAGTTGCAAAAGTAGACAATACTTATAGCAGCTATTGTTTCATTGATCCATTAAGTTACAGAATTCTTCATTGTTTTCTGCTGATGTTCTTATAGTTTTAGTCACTGGTTGAGTTGCAGAAGTAGCCATTCTGCAGATGTTGTGGTATCTGTCTGTCCGTCCTTCCTTCCTTCCTTCCTTCCTTCCTCTTCCGCTTATCCAGGCCTAAACAGAGAAACCCAGACCTCCTTCTCCCTAACCACCTGCTCCAACTTGTCCAGGGGGACACCAAGGCGTTCCCAGGCCAGCTGAGAGATATAATCTCTCCAGTGTGTCCTGGGTGTGCCCCAGGGCCTCCTCCCGGTAGGTCATGCTGGGAACACCTCACCCAGGAGGCATCCTTGTCAGATACCCAAACCACCTCAACTGGCTCCTTTTGATGCGGAGGAGCAGCGGCTCTACTCTGAGCCCTTCCCGGATGGCCTCATGCAGGATGGCTTCACCCTCTCTCTAAGGGAGTGGCCAGCCACCTTCAGAGGAAGCCCCACATGATCTTGTTTATTCAGTCACTACCCACAGCTCGTGACCATAGGTGAGGGTATGGGTGTAGATTGACCGGTTAATGGAGAGCTTCACTTTTACACTCAGCTCTCTCTTGACCGCAACAGACCAGTATGCGTCCGCATCACTTCAGCCACAGCACCAATCTGTCTGTCGATCACCCACTCCCATCTTCCATCACTCGTGAACAAGACCCCAAGATACTTAAACTCCTCCACTTGGGGCATGAACTTGTCCTTCATCCGGAGGGGACACTACAGCCAAATCTGGCTGACAACCACGGCCTCAGATTTGGAGGTGCTGATTCTCATTCCCCCCATTTTACACTCGGGTACAACTGTTCCAGTGCAAGCTGGAGGCCATCACCTGTTGAACCCATCAAAACCATATCTTCTGCGAAAAGCAGAGATGAGATTCTGAGACCACCCAAAGTCAAAGCCTTCGGCCACTTGGCTACTGTGGAGTTCTTTTTTGCTAAGAAAAGTTCAAGAGACAATCTAGACAATCTAGCAGTTCACATTATTTTATTATCAGGCAGTTAAAGATTTGGCTTGCAAAGCTGTGGACTTCTCTATGTCAGGCAGTCTGTGCATGGAAAACTCCCAGACAGTTCATAATTCAAAGTAAATATTGGACACATGGAAACAGGTAATATTTGTGATTGGCTATTAATCGGGAGATGCCATGGTTTAGACTTAGCGCTCCCTGATTTGTTCTCCCATGGGTCCTTCCGCATGGTAATGGTCAACGACAAAACACCACTGGGGTTCAGATCAGGGAGGCTCCAAGAAGGGACTCCAAGAATCCGTCGTTCGGCGCATAATGGCAAACGGCAGTCAGGACTAATTCCCCCAATGGAGGGAAAAAACCCTCTTGTCCACTGGGAAAAACCCCAACCTACAGGCAGCAAGCCAAGGGGATACTAGGATACCCACCCCAGCCTGTCGTCTCTCACCAAGGGCAACTCCAGACAGAGACAGAGTCCAGCCCCTCTCCAGGAGTGCTGGTTCCAGCAGAGATGAGATTCTGAGACCAGAACAGTTCCCTTGATCATGTACTCATAAGAGTCTTTTGAATCGCTCTTTGTTTGATCCCTCACCCGGGACCAATTTGCCATGGGAGACCATACCAGGGGGCAAATGCCCCTGGACAGCATAGCCTCTGACATCCCTAGGACACAAAAACCCCTCAAGCCACTATAAGGTAGCGATTCACAGAGGGGTATTGTGGTTTCAGTTCTTTATTTAGTCGTCATATCTTCTACCAGATGCTGGTTTGGTTTCATCTGCCAATTTGGTTGCAAAACTTGCCGTGCACAGTAGCAGTTGTTAGTGTATTTTTAGGCTTTCATTTTGTTGCAGTAGTTGCCACATCTTCTAGCAGACATTGTTGTAGTTGCAGTAGTTGAAGGGTTAGTAGTAGTGGTGGATGTTGCTATTTTACAGTCATTTATTTAGTTGTAGAAGTTCCCATGCCATGTAGTGGATGTTGCTAAAGTTTCTTTCATTCATTTGTTGCAGAATTTTTAATACTTTTCTGCAGTTGCATACAATAATATCAGCAGAGCAGGGAGCTTAAATGAATGTGTATTTGGATACAATGACATATCTTGGTCATTCCATTGTTACACAAACAGTTATATTTTTTGGCACAACAAAGTCTGAACTCTCCTCTCAGGTCCTCGGTCTTCCAGAGTAGGAGTGTACCTGGATCACAGAGCAGGTATTCTGTCTTTCTACAGCGTCTCTAAAACCATGACTCTCCTCCACAGAGTCCAGACCACATTAACTCAGCCGCTCTATGCTGGACTTGGTCTTTATGAAAATGGAGATACTGCAGAGTTTATTAAAGTGAAATAGAAGTTTTAGCTTCTAGTTTTTTTGTTTTTTTCTTGTCTATCTTTGAAGGCAAATGAGGAGCTGGGAGCGTGGCTCATTAAGGTGGATAAGTCCGGCCTGCCTGGAAGATTTAAAGCCTGGATCTACCAGCATTCCATCCTGCCCCGAATCCTGTGGCCCTTCCTTGTCTATACAGTTCCAATAACTACTGTGGAATCCCTTGAAAGAAAGATCAGTGGCTTTCTTCGTAAGTGGCTGGGACTTCCCCGCAGTCTCACCAGCGCTGCCTTGTATGGGGCAAGTAACAGCGTGCAGTTACCCTTCAGTGGTCTCACAGAAGAGTTCAAGGTGGCTCGCACACGAGAAGCCCTACAGTACAGAGATTCTAAAGACTGCAAGGTGGCATCAGCAGGTATTGAGGTAAGGACAGGAAGAAAGTGGAAGGCTGAGAAGGCAGTTGAGGTGGCGGAGTCACGCCTAAGGCAGAAAACACTGATGGGGGTCTTAGCAACAGGGGGAGCAGGCTTGGGATACTTCCCAAAGGCCCAGGTCAGCAGGGCACAGGGAAAGGAGAGACACCAGCTACTCCAGGAAGAGGTCCGAGCAGGTGTGGAGGAGGAGCGAGTAAGCAGAGCTGTAGGCCTTAAGCGGCAGGGAGCATGGACAAGGTGGGAGAGCACCTTGCAGCGCAAGGTCACCTGGGCAAACATCATGCAGGCAGACTTCCACCGGATCTGATTCCTAGTGCAGGCAGTATACGACACTCTGCCAAGCCCAGCAAACCTCCATCTGTGGGGAAAGAGCGAGACACCTGCCTGTCCCCTGTGCTCTGGAAGAGGGACCCTAGAACACCTCCTTAGCAGCTGCCCAAGGGCCCTGGCTGATGGTCGGTATCGTTGGCGGCACGACCAGGTGCTCAGAGTAGTTGCTGAAAAGATTGCAATCAGCACCAGCAAGCATCATCAGGCTCCGAGGAAGGCAATCTCTTTTATTAAGAATGGAGAGAAACCCCAGGTGCGCCCACATTTGACAACTGGCCTCCTCAACACAGCCTCTGATTGGCAGCTACAGGCTGACCTGGGTAAACAACTAAAGTTCCCTCAGAACACTGCAAAAACATCACTCCGGCCAGACATGATAATTATTTCTAAGGCCTCAAAACAGCTGATCATGCTGGAACTCACAGTGCCCTGGGAAGAGCGGATTGAGGAGGCCAATGAAAAGAAACGAGGAAAGTACCAGGAGCTAGTGCAGGAGTGCAGGGGAAGGGGCTGGAAGACTTTCTATGAGCCCATAGAAGTGGGTTGTAGGGGCTTTGCAGGACGATCACTGCAAAGTCCTAGGCTGGCTGGGCGTGGCTGGGGCAGCCAAGAAGAAGGCCATCCAGGCTGTGAGTGAAGCGGCAGAGAAAGCTACAAGGTGGCTGTGGATCAAGAGGGCTGATCCGTGGGTAGCTACTGGTACGTAAGTCGGGGCCTGATCACCCCCGGCTGGGTCGCCTGGGCGAGGGTGTATGATGTTGTGAGACCCGAAACACCTGATGACCCTAGGATACATCACTGAAGATGCGTACCAGTGCATCCAGGAGATGTGTCTTTATAGTGCTGTTGAGAGCTCACTGTTGTGCTGTTTCTTCTCTGCTCAGAATCACTTTATAGTTGCTAGTCTGACATCTTATGATTAATTGTCTGTAGTTACCTGTAAATTCACTTGAAATTGTATTCAAATCAACAGTGCACTCTTTCTCTGTTGTGGCAGAAATATTCAACCGCTTTGGAAAGAAATCAGAATGGCATATGAGAAATGTATTTCAAAACAGTTTCCACTAGACTCCAAAGTAAGTAGAGGAAATAATTATCATGAACATAATCAAGCAATAATTCAACAGTTTTAGGGCCTCAAGTTTTTTCATTGCTTAAATGACAATAACACTGGGAACTTTATTAATTTTTATTTCTTAAAGATTTGGATTTGATAGGGGGCCAGTCTTATGTAGTTGAACAAAGTATATCAGTTCATATCAGTTATTAAGGAAATTAGAGAGATATGGAATAAGATGTGTAGCCTATTCCTGGTTGGAAAATGGACAACAATGTGTGCAAATTAATAAAACTGCATCTAAAAGGGTCAACGTGGGGTAACTCAAGGATCTGTGACTGATCCAAAACTCTTTGTACTTTTCATTAATTATATTTGTAATATTACTAAATTGATTAAATATCGTTAGCTTCATAGCATAAGTGCCTAAGTCATTTTTTGGTCAAATTGAGATTTTTGCCTAACTTTACTCCCCTACCACTGCTGCATCATCCTGTCCGTCTGCCTATGTCATCACAAAAAAATGACTTAGGCACTTATGCTATGAAGCTAACGATATGTTGTTTATACAGATGATACAAATGTATTATCTTATGGAAAGAAAATTAAATGATCTCTTGTATGCAATTAAAAATGAGCTGGAAATTCTTAAGATGTGGTTTGATATCAATAAATTATCCCTTAATTATCAAGGAACCTGAATTCATGCTTTTAACAGGTAGAAAAGAATACGAAGAAGCTGTTCATTTAATATCCATCCATCCATTTTCTTCCGCTTATCCGGGGCTGGGTCGCGGGGGAAGCAGCCCAAGCAGAGAAGCCCAGACCTCCCTCTCCCTAGCCATCTCCTGCAGCTTGTCCGGGGGAACATCAAGGCGTTCCCAGGCCAGCCAATTTCATTTATGTAGCGCCAAATCACAATAACAGTCGCCTCAAAGTGCTTTATATTGTAAGGTAGACCTTACAGTAATACATACAGAGAAAAACCCAACAATCAAATGACC